CAGGCGCCGGCAACGGCAGCAGCAGCGGCGTGGACGACGGGAGCAGCACGCACCACGCCGAGCTGCGCGACATTTTCCAGCGCATCTCGAACAAGACCGAGTCGCGGCAGGGCATCCGGGAGCTGTACGAGTTCCAGAAGCGCAATCCGCACCTGGAGAAGCACGTGGAGAACTCGCTGCAGAAGACGGGACCGATCTTCCAGCGCTTTATCAAGCGGGCGCTGGCGAATCACGCTGCCGAGGATCCGGACGTGATGGGGTCCGGCGGTGGCGGCGCGGCGGCGGGGGGTGGAGAGGCGGAGGCGGCCGAGGTGAAGCGCGGCAGTACGCCGTCGGGCGCGAGTGCCAACGGCAGCAGTACGGGAGCGGGTGCAGTGGCGACGCCAGGCACCCCGCGGTCGTCGCGCTTCTCGGTGGCAGCGGCGGGAGCAGCAGGCGATGGGTCGATGGGCAGTCCGTCGTCGTCGGCCACGCAGTCGCCGCGCGGCTCATCGATCCGCAGCTCGGCGACCGAAGACCGGCTAGCTCAGCTGCGCGCCAAGTTTAGCTCGTAGCGCACTGTACTTTTATCCGCTTTCAATTATATTTGGCTAGCTAGAACAGAAGGAGCGGGGCCGGGTGGGGGAGAAGGGTTAGGAGAAGAGGAGCGGGTAGACTAGGTGGGACCAGATGTAGAGGGCGAGGATGAGGGCGAGGATGAGGACAAAGATGCAGGGGATGGTGCCGAACTTGAACCTGTAGAGTTCGGCGAGCTGTTCGAGGTAGTTGATCATGACTTTGCCGTCGAGTTTGCTCTCTCCCTCTTGGCGGATTCCGAAGCTGAAGGGGATTTCGGCGATGGCCGAGTTGGGGACGCCGGATTTGACGAGGAGGTCGAGGGCGATTTTGAAGCCCTGGGCGTTGATGTTGTGGTCTGCATTCTTGAACGCCGAGCTTGTGATGCCAAAGAAGCCGGACATGGGGTCGGAGGCCGAGGTGAGTGGACGCGCGAGCATCCTTGCGCCGCTCGAGATGATTTGTCGATGCAGCGGCCAGTCCTTGTCCATCGCCACACCTTCGCCGTAGCGCGTGCCCAGGACGAAGCTCTTGTGATCGTTGAGTGCGAGCAAAAGCGAAGGAACAGCTTCGGGAGGATGTTGAAGATCCGCATCCATGCAGATCATCCTTGCGCCCCGAGCCTCTCTGAATCCCCTCACCACGGCGGAGGAGAGTCCGCGTTCGGCGGTTCGAACGACGATGCGAACGTTGTATCCCGTAGACTGCAGCATCTGGACGGTCTCTACGCTTCCGTCGCGCGAGTTGTCGTCCACGATGATGACCTCCAAATCGCCCAGTTCGCTCGACGAGGCGTGCGACGAAAACGCCTGGAACAACCGCGTCACAAGCGGTCGCAAGTTGGCATTCTCCCGAAACGCGGGTACGATGACCGAACAGGATGCCGAGCCGGACGATGCAGACGCCGAGGCGGACGCGTGCTTGCGGTTCTTGGCCGAGTCCATATCGAGCGCAATCGACATGCCGAGATGTTGAAACGGCAGGGCAGATGGAGGAGGAAACCTGCAGCGAGCTTTAGACACGTGTCGCCAAACGAAGGTGTTGCTGTCCGAACTGCCGGCACTTCCACCACTGCCAAAGAGAGCCGTGCGCGCTAGTCTGGCAGTGTTAGGCCGAAACAAAGACAGTGAGATCGGATCGCGATCGGGAGCGTGAGCCGTGCACCGAGAAGAGGCAAAGCGCAAGTGGAGGTTTGAGCGGGAAAACGAGCCTGTTGGTTGCCGTTGCCTCATGACGGCTGAATCACCGCACACGACACAGAGCAGAGCGACGGACCGTCGGCAAAGCATCCGCACCGCACGTCACTCCAATCCAGCTCGCCGACGAAGTGCGATCGGAGCGTGCCGACGAGGTGACTAAGGTGATCATCCGAAGCGCTCAGCCGTCCCTTTCCCTCCCGACCATCTCCATCTTTCTACCATCGAAACTCTCACGTCTAGAAAGCATCGCCAAAATGCCAGCCTCCGCAGGTTCGTACCTTGCCTCTGCCTCGTCGTGCCGTGCCCTGTTGCGGGCCACCCGACCGCCATGCTCCCAGCGCTCCCTGGCGAAGCTTGCAGGTGCTCCGTCGCTGAGCCAAGGATCGCGGCCAGCTGCCTCTGCGACCCCCAACCGTCGCTCACACGTCTCTGCCCCCTCTGAACTCGTCTCCCTGTGCCGTTCTCCTCCCTCGCGATCCGCTATCCTTCGCGCGTTTCACTCGTCGGCACCGCGTGCGCTTCCACCCTCTTCAGAGACCGCCAGCTACCGTCTTAACCAGTAAGTCATCTCCCAGCTTCACCCACAGGCTTACTGCGCCCTTCATATGCTGAACGATTCACCTCCTTGCCCCATTGCTTACTGGTTCGCAGTGTGATGCTCCGCGTCAAGGACCCCAAGAAGTCGCTCGAGTTCTACGAGAACGTGCTGGGCATGGACGTCATCGACAAGCACGACGGCGGCGACTTTACGCTCTACTTTCTCGCCTACCAGCACCAGAAGGGCGTGAGCCGTGGCGAGCGCGAAGCCATCCTCGAGCTCACCCACAACCACGGCACCGAGAACGACGACTCGTTTGCCTACCACAACGGCAACAACGAGCCCAAGGGCTTCGGCCACCTCTGCGTCTCGGTCGACGACATCCACGCCGCCTGCGACCGCTTTGAAAAGCTCGGTGTCAAGTTCCAGAAGCGCCTCACCGACGGAAAGATGCGCAACATCGCCTTCATCCTCGACCCCGTATGTCTTGCCCCGTGACCGCGTTGGATGAAAGAGGGCGAATCACTGACTCACTGTTTGGCGGCGCTACAGGACAACTACTGGATCGAGATCATCGCCACCAACAAGCCCCAGTAAGCGTCGGTGTGCGTGTGCAGCCCGCAAGCCACGCGTATGCAGGCGTCTTCCCCCTCACTGACCCTCCCTGCTCACCTTGCTTCTTGTGGTCCATGCGGAGACAGACGCAAACACGCGCTGTGAATGTCACACCCTTCCTTGTCTGCATTTCCATTCCCTTCCGTTGGCGGCACTACACATGAGCGAGCCCGGCGATGAAGCGCATGACGACGTTGTGGCCCTTGACGAGGTTGGACTGGCGGATGCGTTCGTTGGGCAGGTGGGCGCTGTCGCTGCTCTGGCCCATGGGCAAGTGCACTGCCGCCGCGCCCAGCTCCTTTTCCAGAATCGCAATCGCCGGGATACTGCCGCCCTCGCGGATCGAGATGGGCTCCGCCTTCCACTCGTGGCGCACCGCATCGCGCAGAAGCGCAAAGTACACGCTCGCATCCGAGCCGAGCCACCAGTCGGCACGGTGGTCCACGGTGACGCACACCTTGTTGCGCACCACGCGGCCCGTCGCCGATGCAGGCGTCGCATACAGCGCGTCGAACGTCGATGCGACGTAGGCGCGCAGCGACGCCTCGATTTGCGCCAGCTGTTGGTCCGGAACAATGCGCAGCGACACTTGCGCCTCGACGCTCGACGGAATCACCGTCGAGTTGCCCGGACCCGACACGCGCAGGTTGTGCACCGACAGCGAGGGATATCTCCACTTGGCCATGAGCGACTCCACCGTGTCCGCATGCGCGCCCGCATGCTGTTTGATGTGCACGATATCGCGGTACGCCTGCACCTCGTCCTCGGTCGTCTGCCTCACCGCATCGTAGAATCCGGGCAGCGCAACACGCTCTCCCTCAGCAGTGAGCGCAGCAAGCAGCTTGACCATGTCGACCATCGGTTCGCGGATCGCGCCGCCCTCGACGCCCGAGTGCACATCGCGTTCGCCACTGCCCACACTCACCGTCGCGCGCACCACACCGCGCAGCCCGACCGTGATGCACGGCGTCTCGTCGTCCAACCAGTACGAGTTGGAGAGCAGCACCACATCGATCGGTCCGATCTCGCTCTTGAACCTGCGCACCGCCTCTACGAAGCCCACCGAGCCATTTTCCTCCTCGCCCTCGATCAGGAACACCACGTCCGAGTGCAGCCGGCGCGTCGAGAGCAGCCGATGCACCGCACACGCCGCCGCCAGGATGGGGCCCTTGTTGTCCGACACACCGCGGCCGTACAGGAAGCCGTCACGCCCGTCGAGCGTAAAAGGCTCCGACGCCCACGAGCCCTCGGCGGCAATGCAGTCGTAGTGGCCGTAGAACAGACACCGCTTCTGCGGTCGCGCGCGCGACGTCCTCGCCTCGTCCGCATCCGCTGCAGCATCCCGCCCGTCCAGGTGGTCGAACATGATGGACCCGCTCAGGCCCTGCGCGTCCTCCTCGTCGTCGTCGTCGTTGTCCACGGTGCGCGATTCCGACGAGCTCGTCGATGCGGTCGACGCCGACGCCGAGGTGGATGCACTGCGCGAGCGGTCGTTTGCGCCACTCGCCGCCGTCCTGCGTCGCCGCGAGCGGTAGGCGTTGGCCTTGAACGTGGCGAGCACGAGCGGATTGGTGCCCACCGGATTAGGCAGGATGCGCGCCTCGGCGCCCAGCTCTTGGAAGCACGTCTTGAGAAAGTGCGCCGCCTGCCGGCAGTCTTCGCGATGCTCTTCGCTCGAACTGATGCTGGGGATTGCGATGAACCTGCGCAGCAGCGAGCGCAGCAGCGGCCACTGCGCCGACACTGCCTCGGGCGTCTCTCCCTCTTCCGTCACCTGCGCGCGCGTCATGGCGGCAGACGATGAGGCAACCGGCGTCGAGGAGAGCGAGGGCGTAGCAGGCTCTTCGAGTGAAAGATGCTCCAGCTCGCGGCGCCGCAGTTCGGCCACTGGTTCGCGCGACGATGACGGCAGCGCGGGTGACGGCGTTGTGTCCCAGATGCGGATAAAATTGTCGCTGGAGCCCGTGACTAGCTGTGCCACCCTCGCTGCCTCGCCGCTTTGAGCAGGCGTGCGCACCTTGGTCATGGACAACACGATGCCCTTGTGCGCTTGCACCCTGTTGATGCGTCTAAAGGACCGGTCCCACGTGTGAACATTCCCATCCGCGCCTGCGGTGAACAGCAGACCGGACTCGGCACACGTCTCTAGGCAGATGACGTCGTCCGAGTGCGCGCGGATGGTGCGCACGAGCGTACACGTCTCGAGATCCCACACCTCGACTTCTCCGCCCTGCAGACCGGCGAAAAGGGTCGTCTTCCAGGAGGCAAGCGCGAGCACAGCGTTGCCGTCCGCATTCGGGCTTTCGAGCGTGGCGAGCAGCGAGAGGCCGGCGCGCGTGGCGTGCCACAGCTTGATGGTCTCGTCGCCCGAGCCCGAAGCGAGCACGGTCGGATGCTGCGCATCGCCCTCGAGCGTCAGCAGCGCCAGGCAGTAGACGTAGCCAAAGTGCGCTGAGGGAACTGCAGAGCTGGGTGGCACGAGCAGCGTGCGCACCGATCCGCCCGAGTCGTCGCGTGCCACCTCGTCGCGCACGGCCGTGCTATCCAGGCGTTGCGATGCGGCGTGCAGAACCTTTTCGGTGGCGCGGGTGGTGGACAGCGGGCCCTTGTCGCTCAGGTGCGTATCTGGCTCGGTGGGTTGCGGCCCGTCGGCCGAAGTAGTTGCCTTTGAGGGTTTCAGAGGGGCCGAGGACGGCGGCCGCACGCGTGCTGGAGTCGAGCTTCCGGCGCTGCCGAGGCCGGACCTGCTGAGCGCGACGGGGACCGAGTCGAAGAACTTGTGCGGTCGTGCGACGATGTCCGGCGTCGAGATGATCGGGCTGTCCGCGCCTGCCTGGTTGAAGCCGAGCGATGCTGTGCCCACGTCGTAGTGCGGCGCGAGCGACTCGTTGGCATCGAGCCGCTTGGACGGGCCGGGCTGCTTATCGAAACCCGCCAGACAGATCCACTGGATCGAGGTGGACTGGCAGCCCAGATACAGCGTCTCGAGCCCGGCGCACCACTTGAGTGCAAAAATGTCGCCGACGTTCTCTTCGGCAGGATGAACCACAAAGAGCGGCGCATTCGTATCGGTGTTCCACACGCGGATCGTGTTGTCTCCGGACGAGCTAAAGAGCCAGCGTTTCTCCGGAGCGAGCTCAAGTGCAAGCACGCTTCCCGTATGACCTTGCAGCCGCGCAGCTGGCTGAAACGTCTCGAGGTCCCATATGTGGATGCAGCCCTCCTGGGAGCCCGAGTAGAGCAAATTGCGACGCTCATCGACGGCGAGCGAGAGCACGGACGAGTGGTGGTTGATGGTGTGGCTCAGCGGCGCCGCCGTCGATGTTGCTGGGTTGGATGCATCGGCAGCGCCGATATTCGAGCGCCAGGACGATGCGCCGGCGGTGCGAGCGTGCGAGAGGCTGCGGAAAGGTTGTGATGGCGCTGCAGGTGATGTGTTGGACGAGCCGATAAGGTGCTCAAAGTGGACGTTGGGCGAGCACATGCTGTGCGATAGCCAGCGGTGGTAGTCGGGATGCTAGCGGAGAAGGGTACGCCTGGTCTCGTCCACGTCCACGTCCCAGCACAAGGTGACCACAGCTGCAGGCAGGATGGAGGAATGTTGGTGCGTGCGTCAAAGGATGGTGTCATCCGACATGCCAACCAGCTCATCTCGGCCAACTGCCGAAGCGCAACAGTCGCAGCACCCGATACGCGAAAATAACGCCCGATCTGAGACAGGAACAGGGTTCGGGATCCGGAAGATCCGAACAGCAAGCGAGGGTTGCGTGGGACTGCAGGCAGAAAAAGTTCGGCGCGTCCGAGACACTCTTCGTTGACCAAAGTCACCCTTCACCTTCTCAGCCCTCAGGGCACCATTTGCACCATCGGAATCATCCGCAGCACTTGCTCCATTCTCGTCACAACAGCTCGTGTGCGGCGGTGGTAGCGGCGTCGTCCCAGCACTCTTCCCTCGCATCTCCACTCCGCAAACGGACCAGCCGCTGTGTAAACATGCCAAGGGCCTCCTCCTCCTCCGCCTCGGTGGGCGGCTCCAAGCTCACCAAGCTCGAGTCGGCGCTCTACCGAGCCGCACAGTCTGCTCGCGGCGGCGTCATCACTCAGGACCAGATCACAGACCAGTTCAAGCATGAGCAGCTCCACGACCAGCTCGAGGCCATCAACGGCCTGCTCAAAAAGAGCCTCTTCACCGTCCAGACACTCAACGGCTCCATCCAGTATGCCGCCACAGCAAAGGCGGAAGCGAGCATGATGGGCAAGCTCGATGAGACAGAAAACATGGTCTACCAGCACATCAAGGACTCGCGCAACGAAGGCATCTGGACCAAGCAGCTCAAGGCTCGCTCGGGCCTGCATCAGACCATCATCAATCGCTGCCTCAAGTCGCTCGAGCAGAAGCAGCTCGTCAAGGCCGTCAAGTCGGTCAAGTACCCCACCCGCAAGATCTACATGCTCTATGGCCTCACGCCGTCCATCGAGCTATCGGGAGGCCCGTGGTATACGGACAACGAGTTGGATACCGGCTTCATCAACGAGCTCTCCATGGCTTGTCTCAACTTCATCCGCTCCAAGTCGTTTCCCAAGAACGGCCAGTCCAGAGCGCTCTTCCCAACCACCCACACCTCGCAGCTGCCGTCGGCCAACACCGTGCACACGTACCTCCGCAGCTCGGGGCTCACCGAGACCGAGCTCGAGCTCGAACACGTCGTGTCGCTGCTCGACATTCTCGTGTACGACGAGCAGATCGAAAAGATCCCCGTCCTTCCGTTCGCCTTTGGCGGCGGCGCGCGCACGAACGGATTCGATGATGACGACGACGACTTCACCGACTCGGGCACGTCGTCTGGAGGCAGTGGCTCGGATAGCGACAGCGAAAGTGGGTCGGACAGCGAATCGGAAGCGCAGGAGACCGGTTCGGACAGCGAGGCACCACGCAAAAAGGTCAAGAAGGAGCGCAAAGGTCACGACGAGTCGGGCAGCGACGATGAGGACGACGCGCCTGTCTCGAGCCGCAAGCGCAAGCGCTCGTCGGGCAAGTCGTCTTCGCGCAAGAAGAGCAAGTCGTCCTCCAAGCGCAGTAGCAAGTCCAAGGACAAGAAGTCGCGCTCTCGGTCGCGCTCTCGATCCCGCTCTCGATCCCGCTCGCGTTCTCGATCGCGCTCTCATGCAGCTTCGGACTCGTCCGACGCAAGCGGCTCCGAATCCGACGCATCCAGTGCGTCGTCTGCATCATCGGGGCGTCGACGCAGCAGCAAGAAGCGCAACGGCAAGTCGGCCGCGCGCTCGGGCGGTGGGGGTGACTTTGTGCCGTTTGTCTACCGCGCCGTGCGCCCACACGCCGTCAAGGTCGGCTGGACGGAGACGCCGTGTGGCCACTGTCCCGTGTTTGAGTTTTGCGACGATTCGGGGCCTGTCAATGCGGAGAGCTGCCAGTACTACGGCGGCAAGCACGACGAGCTCGGCCGCAAACTCACCAATGGCTGGATCGACACTGTTGCCGACGGCGATGACGAGGACGACGCAGAAGACGCCGACAAGGACGACGGCGCACTCGAATGATCTCGAATGCAAAAGTGTCATTGTCTTCATTTCGGCCAAGAAATCGGTTTGTGTGTGTGTGTGAAGAGCGGGCGAGAAAAGTGGGCGAGATGAGGGCAAGGCGCCTAACGCGGGCGTGCATGCATGACTTGCAGCAGTCGAAGCCGCGACCTGCCCGGGCGAAGCCGCAACGATCGCCGACGAGTCGGTGCGTTGCGAATGTCGATGGTCCGCTGTTGAGCCGCAAAGCGGGCGTCGAATACCGCATCAGACGAATAATGCGACGGTGGATCAAGCTTGCCTCAGCAGCACGGTTGAGAGGCACCGCCGCCGTTTCTGCTGCGTCTCGTGGCCACGCTAACGACACCAAAGATGACGAGACGGCCGGGGCGTGACGAAGTCGAGTGCGGGTGTCCAAAGCGGAGTTCTCCTCAGAGATGAGAGGCCGGTGCGCTACGAATAGGAGTACGCGGGAGGCGCGGGTGCATGAACGTGCCGTCGTCACCAGGGACCGTTCCGGGCGGCGGAAGAACGGAGTGAGGGCCGGCGTTAGCGTTAGCGTTGGCGTTGTTGTCTTCGAGCAACCTGGACCTCGACATCGCTGCTCAGCGGCTTGCGATGGACGACGTCGACAGCGTCGATGCAATCATCGCCATGGGTGGAACGCACACGCACGAACCAACTATCTCCTTCACGAGGCCCCGTTCGCCCATCGCCGAATCTCGCACCGAAACGCCCGCGAGCAGGGGTTAGGTTCCGGACGCGTCTGGCAACGACCGCTCTGTTGCCGATCATCACGACGACGACCGCGGCTCGTGGAGGTTCAAGTCGGAGGCATACGACGACGACGACGACGACGACGACGA